TAAGTCACACACACCAGAGCTGGAGGGTTCGAATCCAGCCTGGGCCTGCCAAACAACACTGACAACTGCAACCAAAAATATCCGGGCATTGTGGCAGGTGTCTATAGTCCCAGCTACTTGGGAGGCTGAGGCAAGAGAATCACTTAAGCCCAGGAGTTGAAGATTGCTGTGAACTGTGATGCCACAGCACTCTACCCAGGACGGCAGCTTGAGGCTCTGTCTCAAAAAATAAAAATAAAAAATCTCTGCTGACCCATTACTGGACCCAAGACCTCTGTTCTAGCCTCGTCTGACTTAATCTCTGCTTAAATCTGCTCCTATCCTCCAAGGTAGCATTCTCCCTAGGGTTCCCTTGGACCTCTGATTCATTCTTCTTCTCTGAAAGCCTAAATAGCAGCCTTCCACATCGTGCAGTTGCCATTATATCCTCCCAAGTGTCAATCCCCTCTAATCTTGTACCTCCTGTGAGCTGTGCTGTGGGGTCCCCAGGAAGCCTCCCTCTCCTCCCTTCTGTCTTCTTGTGAGAAACTCTCCTGGCTCATGGTGCAAGGGCCTGGGGGAGACTGACCCCACCCCTGGCTTCAGGAGAAACCAATCAGGGTAATGATATTCCAGCTCTTGCCAATGGATGGTTGAGGAATGGGTATGGGCGGAAGTTACTCCACGAGCCTCAATATCCAGTATCTTTATCTTCCTTATGAGGATAAATACAGCTAAGCACATGGGATCCCCAGGAAAGAAGATATTTCCTTCCATGCAGTCAGTGGTGGCCAACTTCTGTCCAACAGCAAGCTATTTGCGACCAACATCATGCCCTTCAAATGAAGAGGCATGACTTCCCGCACCCGAAGTCATCTCAGACTGGGCACCAAAACCCAATGTGTAATATTTCCTCTTCAAACCACTCCATTTCTGGGAAGAAGGGAAAGGGGTCTAGGGTTTTGTTTGTTTGTTTTTTGTTTTTCTGAGACAGAGTCTCACTCTTTTGCCCCAGGCTAGAGTATAGTGGCCTCAGCCTAGTTCACAGCAACCTCAAACTATTGGGTTCAAGTGATCCTCCTGCCTTAGCCTCTCGAGTAGCTGGGACTGCAGGTGAGTGCTACCATGGCCAGCTAATGAATACTTTTATTTTTAAGGAATGAGGGTCTCCTATGTTGCCTAGGCTCATCTCCAATTCCTGACCTCAAGCCATCCTCCTGCCTTGGCCTCCCAAAGTGCTGGAAGGTGTGAGCACCGTTCCTGCTGGGGTCTGGTCTTGATTAAAAATACCATCAACTCCTCTCCTCATAGCTCTTGGTAGCATTTTACTCTCCACCTTCAATCAAGTGGTCATGAGCACAGAGAGTTCTTGAGCATTTTCGGTTCA